GGTCTCGTCCTAACTCCGTCGCTGTTGAATATGACAGTACCGGCGAATCGCTAACATATGCAGAACTCAACTATAGAGCAGAGATTTTGGCTATTCAGTTGTGTGATATTTTGTCTACAGTGAATGGAAGCACTAGACTGGTTGCCATCAACACCAACAGAAGCTTAGCGATGATTGTGGGTCTTCTGGGCATTTTCAAAGCTGGTGCAGCGTACGTGCCAATTGATCCGCTTTATCCCCAAGAACGTCAAAACTACATAATCACTGATAGTAGAGCAGCAGTACTAATTACAGATGCAGGATCACCGAAAACAGTGTCCGCGGCAGAGAAGCTCGAAACGATTTGTTTGAGCAGATTCGGCTTTGTAGACAACGTTATACAAAATGATTCCGTGCTTTCCGCCATCGTCCCAGCGTCACAGCACGGCTCATTAACCGATCTCAATTCTCTCGCGTATGTACTTTACACTAGCGGATCCACTGGTAATCCAAAGGGCGTAATGGTGGAGCACGGAAATGTTGTCAATATGTTGGATCACTTCAGACAAGATCTGAATGTCACTGCCGCTTCAACAGTGCTGGCCATCACCACTTTCTGCTTTGACATCTCCGTACTAGAAATGTTTCTTCCACTCACAACGGGTGCAAAACTTGTCTTAGCTTCTTCCACTACACAGAAAGATCCCTTTGCACTGCAGAACCTACTCAGTGACTACAATATTGACATAATGCAAGCGACACCCTCCACATACGAAATGCTTATGGCCACCGGCTGGATGGGGAGTAATACGATAACAGCACTTTGTGGAGGTGAGGCTATGCGTCCTAATCTTATGAGTATGATGTTCCATCGTTTCATCAACGTGTATGGCCCAACTGAGACTTGTGTGTGGTCATCGACATATGACATCCCTTCTACTGTGGACACCACAATCTCAAATATCCCGATTGGCCGACCCATGTTCAACACCACTTTTGAACTTTACGACTCTGAGGCAAAGGCCTTCTTGACTATTGAAATCAATAGCACTACAAATCTACCAGTGCGCGAGTATGAAGGTGAGCTGTTCATAGGCGGCAGTGGAGTTTCACGTGGCTACTACAAGAGAAGTGACCTTACAGCCGAAAGATTCATGCACATTAAAGGGGCACGCTATTACAGAACTGGTGATGCAGTACGCCTGGGAACGGATGGTAACTACCGATTCTTGAACAGGCTGGACAACCAGACAAAGTTCCATGGATATCGGATCGAATTGGGAGAGATTGAGAGTGCAATCTTACGAGTCGGGCACGACATAGATGTTGAGAGTGTTGTTGTTGTTGTGCGCAATGACACACCAGCAGGCGATTCATTGACCGCATATGTGAAAGAGTCTGCATCTGGACAATTCAATGTAGGCATTTTGAAGCAAAGACTGGAGAAGGTGCTGCCTAAATACATGGTACCCAAGTATGTTGTCCGGTTGGCTACATTCCCCCTCACACCGAACAACAAAATCGACCGCAGGAACTTGCCGAACCCGGTATGTGCGAGTCCTAATGCCACTGAGGATAGATTGGAAGCTGCACCGACATCAGCAAAACTACAAACCAAAAATGCCTCTGTATCTGATAAAGTCTGTTCAAATCCACAACTCAGCGCCCTTATCAAGATCATTACAGGCGTAGTCAGCTCGTCTACGGGCATCAGTGCGGCAGAGTGTACTGCCGATACTTCGCTGGAGACTATTGGCCTAGACTCGCTGGGATCAGTCCTTTTTCTTACTAAATTGGTACACGCCATTGGTGGCATACGCATCACACTCGCAGAGTTCCAGACTAACAGTACATCAATCGGGGCATTCGGTGCGCACATACTTACAGTACTGCGTCAGTCAGATTCAGAATTCCTTCGTACTCTGGTTACTGAGGATGGACTTGACTCGAGTCTGTGCTCCATTATTACTGTGACAACTGAAAATTTAATCAGCGATGATAAGTTTGTGGCTCATTCTGATGCCAAAGATATGCAATTGAGCACACGCTCGCAACACCCTCTAGGAAGCTCATGGAAGTTACCACTGCAAGACTCGCTGACCGGTTTGCGCGGTGTATTATTCTTGTGGGTGTTCTGCGAACATTATATGAGCCTGGACAAGGATACTCTAGACTACTTTGGCTATCGAGTTCACATCAACACCACACTGTTCTTCCTTCTGAGCGGTTTCAGTGTGTATCTGCAAAGTGAGGGTCACTCCCTTGATGTACAGTCTTACCTCAAAAATAAGGC